TTTTCACCAGGATTAAAACCCTTTGTCACAAAACCCAACCTAATAGCATCCGCTCTAGAGTTACTAGAAAAAGGTGAAGCCGCAGCTATAACCCATCTGCGGGCAGAACACAGTCCCCTTAATGCCCATCTCTTCAGAAGAAACCTGTCTCCTTCCTCCCGTTGCGAAACATGTGGATTAGAAGAAAATACTAACCATCTTTTGCTCTACTGTAAAAGGTACACTAAATTCCAAAAACATATGAGGAATAGACTCAGAGAAGAAGGTGTGAAAGTTAACTGGAACAATACGAACAAAATTTTAGATACACCAAAAGCTTTTCCTTTTCTGGCACAATTCATATACTAAAAGATTTTTGCATCTTTGCTCTTACATGCAGGAACAGAACCAAGGAGGACGGCTGCGGAGCAAAGGACGAGCTGTCTCAAGATAAAAAGATGACTTCATTACTTTAAAAAAAATCACTGATAAATTCTCATGTAACTGGGATAGATTGAAAAACATCAGAAACAGTGTACTGCTAAATCTCGTTACAGAGTTTGATGGATAACAACCATCAAGGCAGTTTCATCAATAAATCTCACTCAAATTGCTGATCATAAAGTCTTATGTAACTAGGATCGATTGAAAAAAATCAGAAACAGTGTACTGCTCAATCTTGTTACAGAGCTCGATGGATAACATCCGTTGTGGCAGTTTTTAAAGCTCATTAGCTCATTCTAGAAATTGTTTTGGCAGCAACCAGAAACTCCGTACGGTTCATCACTGTTCCCCACGCCTAACAGTGCCTTCCCTTTGCCCCCGTGAATCCGGTTGACGCTAGGATAGGGGGCTGGGAAGGGGGATCAAATGCCTGCTCAGCAATGTGGTTCCCAACAAGTTCAAAAAAAAACTGTAGAAAAATTTCTTTTTTTTTAAAAAAAAAAGAAGTGAACATCTTGAAATCTAAAGACAGCAAAATCCTTTGCTCTGACTAGATGGCTGCTCCTCCAAGGTAGACTAGTTTCTCTGCATTTTAATTTGTTTAGTTAGTATTTTATGCAATACAGCCATTATATACTTTTTTTCAAAAAAAGAAATGATGTCATTACCTGTTGACCACCTTCACCATTTCAATTACCATCTTCCTTTATTTCTGCTTTCTTTCAAAAATCATTTTCTCTGGTTCTAATATCATTTTATTTTGTATTCATTTTCATAATCCCTCCCTTCCCACCCTTTTTTCAGCAAATGTAGAGATCTTGATTGAGTGCAGCGTTTATTTTTTTATTTAGTTATTTACGAAAAGGATAAAAGCAAAAATGGTGTTTGTTGAATGTTAGGACTTATTTTTTATCTTTATTGTGGTTATGTTTCTTACATTTATGTTTTCAAAGTTGGCATGGAATGTTAACACAGTGGAATCTGTGAAATGGCAAATGACACTTCGGCAACAAGGTTACAAGTGTGAGCTACTCTCAAAAGAGGTGCAACAGAAATGGCTCTCGACAGACTCCCCCAATGAGTCCAGTCGTTCCGACTCTGTTGCAAGCCTCAGTTGTTTTCCTTTCCTGATTCAAGACAGTTGTGTACCAGAATCTTATCAATTTCCTTTAAAAATTGTGTCCGAAAAAATCCAGAAAAAATATTCCAATTTCAACTAGTTATACAGTTTCCTTACATCTATCGACTTTTCAAAATTGTCGGTATTATTCAGTAATAGTTCTTAATCTTAGTATTTTTATCTTTTTTGTTTTCCCGCCCACCACCCTTCCTGCCAAGCAAAGGGTTAAGTTTCAAGTGTTGCAACATGTCGGCCGCTTCATTTGTAGCTTTTTCTCTAAACTAGAGCGGGGATCATCACAGTTAGATGTCTCAGCGCCAAGTTTGGCCACCCACAGCGCTCTCTATCTTTCTCTGCCCTGGGCCAAAACATTCTGCAAGTTCAGGCCTCCGGGCCAAAATGTGTAGCACACGTAACCAGTTGCCACAAATGAGCCAAACTGATTCCATTCTGGTCAAGTTAGTATGATATATTTCTTTGATGTGTTGTACATCTTTTTTATATTTTAGTGTGCTTTTTTTTGTGGTTCATCTTTTTTGTATGTGAACTGCTAGCCACCCTTTAGGGTATTGTTGTTTGGTTATGACGGTATTCTTATTCCCTTTGGGGAAAATTGGTTTAACTTTGAGTTGTGTTCTTTTGCAATTTTTGTAAGTAACCATGGTTGACATTTCTATTTTTAAATCAAGTATGAGATAAGGTTTAGCTAACAACTCAGGTCTGTGTCTTGTGAAATATGCATGCATGTAATTGGGCCTTTTACATAGTCTTGGGACATCATCCATTTTTCCTTACTGTGGAAAATGGTTGGGACAGATGAGTCTTCAGAGTTTCTAGCCTTGCTGAAGCTATCCTTGAGACTCTGTAGGCTAGGTGGATCCTACCCAAGTGTACCCTTCTTACTCTGCAAGTCAGAGGAGAGGCTTAAGGGCGGTCAAGGCCCCCAACCCCGGGGTTGGTTCTTGGGAGCCAAACGGGCCCTGTGGCTGGGGTCCTCTTTGGACCCACCCACTAGGGCTGTGACCTGGCCCGTCCAGTGGCATCTATTGGTAGCTTTGGCCAATTTTGGATGTTCAGGCAATGGTGGATCCACCCTGATAAAAGCCAAGTTATTTTTGGTGGCCGGTAAGTGCAAAATAGCCTTTAGTATATATTATTCAGACTGAATGGATTGTTGTTGGCAGAGGGCAGTGTAGATGCTTACACTCAACAATGCATTCATGCCATACTTGAGCTTGAGCCTCAGTATGTAAAATGGCCGGCTGCAAACGAGCAAATACAGATCAAGAATAGAATTAGTCAAAGTTCATTTTTTAAGTATTGTATTGGATTCATTGATGGAACTTTGGTTCCTTTGGCCACCACTCCCTCCAAAAATAGAGAGGATTATTATACTCAAAAATCTATTTATGCAATGAGTTCAATGATTATTTGCAACAATCAGCAAAAGGTCCTCTTTGCACAACATGGATGGTGTGGGTCTGCACATGACCAATGTGTATTGAAATCTACTTGTGTGAGTTTTGCTATAGCTTCTTTTGTATTTATTTCCATCCTATGTTACTGATTATACCCTTGGTAGCTCTATCAAGACATGTCCTCATATTTTTCCAAGGGGGAGTACATTACAGCAGATTCAGGACATGTGTCTTCAGAGCATGTTGTGCCTGTTTTCAAACAATCACAATTTCATAATCTTTCACCAGCTCCAAATCATTTCAACAACTCTATTTCCAAAATTTGCATAGCATCAGAGCACTGTAATGGTATGTTACAAAGTTGTTTTGGTTTGCTACACAAGCTGCAACTATCTCTCACCAACGCCAAGGATGCAATTTACCCTTGTAATTGGATTTCAGCATGTGTTGTTGTGGTGCACAACTTTATGCTAGTAGAAGGCTTGCCAACGGCCGGATTGGATAACTGCACCAGCTGAGAGTTTGGAACCCAAACAAGGTCCAACTCTAAATTTCCAGTCCAGTGTAGTTCAGCTCCGGGATTCCTCATTTGAAAACTTTTGTACCTCAAACAATTATTGATTGGTCTCTGCTTTCTCAATTTCCAAGTTGATGTTCTTTCACTTTGATGTGATTCCACCTTTTTTTAAAATTTGGGTGTTGTAGTGTCTCAAATCTCAAAAGATGTTGTGCAATGGGTCTCTTAGCTAATTTGAATTGTTCAATTTTTTCCTTCAAGAGAGTAGAGTCAAGCTTTTCACCATTGTAATTACCCTTGCCGGTTCCCTTTCTCAACTCGTTGGCATCTTTGAACCACTGTTCAAGAGTCTTGATCTACGTAATTAAATCAAACTAAAGAATTGAAGATTAGAAAAGAAAACTGATACTATGTAGATACCACACTTGCCTTCTTCAGGCACTCTTTCCCCAGTCTGTTCATATGATTCTTGCTTGCAAGAAACTCTGCCGCCTTCTCACAAAGTACAATCTGCTTCTGTATACGCCAAGCATTGTAGTTTTTGTATACACTACACCATTCCACAATGATATCCATGTCCAACTTGCCATTGTTGGGTTGAGGTATCAACCAGCTCCTTTGATTAGATTCCTGATCAGTCTGCTTGTCATCTTGAGTATCCTGAGTTTGTATTTTGTTTTGATTTTCACAATCAGAAACAGGTAGAGAAGGACAAAGCAGTTTTTGATTTTTTGAAGGTATTTTCTTCCAGAGGTTGTCCTTGAGGCTTCTTAGGTGGGTTAGGAGTGGCCATAGGAGGCATTGCTTGGTTGGTTGGCAGTGGCATCATAGCAGTCAAGACTGTATTGATTTCTTGTAGGTGCAACCAGTCCGATGCACAAAGCATTGGGAGTGTGAAAGCAGTTAAGGGGACAGCTGAAGGAGATCCTCCAATGTTTGCTTCAATCAGTTGTGATTGAACCAAGCTAGTTGAATTGGTTGTAGTTAATGTGGGTGTAGTTTGAGAATTGATTGGAGCATGTTGAGGTAGTGAGCAGGGGGTATTTGAATCCATGTGTATGGTTTTTTTTCTCATGTGGATTTTCAAATTGGTTGAGCTGTACCCATATAAAAAACCCCACATGAAAATACCAAAAATGGCATATGGTTTCATGCAGGTTTCTCATGCAGGTAGCCATATGGGCATTCATATGGTTTTGATATTTGTGTACTGTTAAAGACTAAATCCTAACTTATGTCTATCATTGCTTTCAAGCAGAAAAATTAATTCATAAAAACACCTTTTTTTATCAATTCATTCATCATGTTATTTGAAATGAAAAGAGAGAAACAAGATAAACTTGGTTGGAATTAGTCAATCCAAAACTTCTATTGAAAAGAACTCAAAAAAAAACAATCCAATTTAACTCCAAAATCCAAAAAGTTTTCAACCAAAAAACAAACATGCAATTTAATTTTCATCTGCTTTTCAAAGAAAAAACACACACCAATTTTAGTTTTCTTTCCTTCATTTAAATTCCTACAACAAATCTAAAGCTGACTTAAAGCCAAAAATCCACTTCATCATATCATCACACATCACAACATCAAAATCACAAGAACAACAAGAAAAAAAATACAAATTCAAAAAAATGACTTTCACTAAACTAAACTAAAACGAGAGATATATATCCAATATATGATTTGGTACTTGAAGGATGAAAGTTAAACAAAAGATAGTAGTAGTATTCAAAAAAAAGATAAAGATGAAGATGATTTTTTATCTCCAAGCTGGGGTATTACTTTTAAACAAAGAAGAAGAAGAAGAAGAGGCACTAGGAACAGGTAACATAGATAATCTCCTACCAAGTACTTTTTTAGTAGGAGAAGTAGAAGTATTAGAAGAAGTAATTAATCTAGTAGCAGTAGTACCAACAGCAAGACTATCACGACCGGCTTTTCTTTGATAAAATGTCATAGATTGTCTTCTGGTGGCTCCTCCATTATTTCGAATCGGTCCAATCGATGATTCTCTTCTTGGTTTTTGTTGAATTGGTTTCTTGAATCCTAAATCTTCAAATTTAGGTAGATTGGATTGATCTCTGAAAACTTTCATTGATGAGGATGAGATAGCTTGTGATGATGAGGTCTCTGTAGCTGATTCATCTTCTTCTCCTAGACTATCAAGAAACCTAGTGCCACTACGAGTTTGACGTCTTGAAAGATATCCTGCTTTGAGATGACTACTTCTACTCGAAGATGAAGGGGCAGTTATAGAAGAAGAGGAAGAAGGTTCGGATGGGGTACTGGAGGGTGCGTTGCTTGTTGGTGGTAATACTGGAGGTTGAGAAAAGATTGAAGATTGTAGTGATGGAAGTCCTTTGAGTGGGCTTTGATTCAATAACAAAGATTGATCAATCAAACTGCTAGTTTCAGTACTCATCGTCATCTCTTGAAATGATTCAAGTTGTCGTCCATCACTTTCTTCATCCCTCCATCTAACTCCTCCTGCTGGTTTTGGAAGGGCTGGTGGTGGCATCTCAATAGAACTTGCTTTTTTTGTAGTAACTGACGGTCGAGACTTTAGGATTCCATTGGTAGCCCGATTGGGAAAGACGACTGGTTTACGAGGTGATGCTTTTTTCGAGAAATAAGTGTTTACTAGTTTAGAGGGTGATCCACCGAGGCCAGACTGTCGTCTAGCTTTCGGTTGCCTGATCATGGAGGTTCTACTGTTATCTGACGATGATGACGGTGATTGATGGAAGGTGGAAGGTTTAACGAGTGTTGATTTGAGTTGTTGAAGATCAGTGTGACTTGGGCCGGATGTAAAGGAGAGGGAGCTGCTTGTACTTATGCCTGTGTTGGAAGTAGGTACGACGATAGGAGCAGAAGATGATGATGAAGTTGATAAGAGGGAGCTCAACGCGACATTGATTGCTTGGTTGACCCTATTAGCGATGCAAGCTACACATCAGCGATCGCTTTCTTGAAAAATGGTCAAAACGAATAAAAACACAGAGAAGCAGACGATGCTGACCGACTATGTAGCTCCTCAGATCCTTGTCGCTCAACTAGCTTCGACTGCAAGTTCAAAAACCAAGTAGATATCTCCAGACCGATCCTTCTTGCTACATCACCCTCTCCTTCTCGAGATGCACCATCCAGAATGATCTTGTTCATCTTGTTTTCCCACTTTGCTATGGCTCGATCAAATAAGTTCTTGCCTTCTTGTCCACTTTGTTGTTCAACAGTCCTAGCAAGAGAGGACATGCAAGCCTCATACATTGACTTTTTGAATTTTCCATCTTCAGCTGTCTTGGTGGCTTTCAGCCGCTCATTCGTAAGCTTCGTATTCAACGCATCAACCTCATGTCCAATCCAGCTTGAATCTTCATCACCAGACCTGATCACACTTTCCTTCCACAGATTCCAAATATTAGTAAGCCGGATAACGGCTTCAAGTTGACCAATCGCTCGACTAGCTGGTTGTGCCGTTGCCATATAATCTTCCCAGTGTTTATAAGCTTTATCAATGGCTTCGTCAATCTTGACTCGATTTTGAATGCATTCTTGTCTGATATGGTCTCTGATACGGTCCTCTCGAACCTTGTCTTCACGTTTCCGATCTTCAAGTTCTTGACGTAATTGAAAAATTACCTGAACGTACTGACTTACGTGTCTATCAACAGATATGACATTACGAGTAGCTTTTGTCTTGATCTCTTTTGCCCGGTTCGCATATTGTAATGCGTTATGAGTTTCATCGTAGTGAGCCGAGGTAGGAGCTACACACACGATCATCAATGTCCGACAATTTCCACCAAGTGAATGTTTGAGAAGTCTGGTGAGTTTCGAATTACGATATGGAACGTGACCACCTCGTCCCTTTGGGTCACAGAGAGCATTGATACAGTTTCCTAATGCCAAGAGAGATTTATTGATATTTGCACCTTCCAATAATCTATCACCCTTGTTCTTTGTTACTGAGGCTCGCTCCGATCCAGCCAAATCAATCACACTGAGTGTTGCTACAGACCAGGAGTCACTGAGACTAGCAGTACGTGGTTTCCTTCGTACATCAACACTAAGGACCGCATGTGAACGAGATGAGACCGCATTGGCTTCAGTACCATGTACGGTACGATGTGCATTTCCGGTTGAGATGAGCCGAATGACATCTGAAGCTGATTCGGGTGTGGAAGTAGTCAGACCTGGGACTGAAACTGAAGAATTGGCCTCTCGTAGATTAAGAATAGGTGCATTGGGATTCAAGAGATCACGGATCGTCTCGTTGTAAATTTCCAGATATGAAACTGCGCAAAGAGGATCAAGTTATATGAAATGATTAGTTCCAAAAAAATGAGGCAAGTTATATCTCTGAAGAACGAGTTTTCGGTTGAAAAGTGAAATGAACTACTCCACTTGATATTTCGACCGTCATATCATCAGCCTCCGAAGCTATTCGTCCAAACAAGTCTTTCATCAATAGATAGACGATCCCAGGTGCTTCAGGAGTTCCAGTGATAGTATGTGTCTTTCCACAACCTGTGGCCTAGATAAAGAAGAGATAAATTATTAGAACTCTTGATTGATCTGAGAAAAACATGAAGAAAAAACACAGCGAATTGGAAAAGTACACCATAAGCAAAAACCGTAGCATTAAATCCATCTAGTACACCTTGGACCAATTCTTTAGCAGAACCTTCATAAACATCTTCTTGTGTCGCACGATCATCGAAGACTCTATCAAAACAAAACCTCATATCTTTAACTTTCTTCCCACCACCTAATCTAGCTAAGATTTGACGTTGAGCTTGTTGAAATGGATTAGATTCAGGTGGATCGAAAATTAAAACGCGTTGGTCTAATACTTTTATAATTGAGCGCAAGGATCGGTGTGAAGCTACATTTGATGAAGTGGCTCTACATGGAAAATCGGAGCTCTATGAGTGAAGATCCATAAGAAGAGGTTTCGTTATGATTTGAGCTTGATGATTACTAACAGTGTTGAAGATAAACTAGTGTCACCAAAGATACCAGAAGAAGCAGACTGAGGGAGTTTGATTAAATTCTTTTCGCGTTCGGTAGGAGGTCGAACGCGTACTAATTCAAAAGAAAGAGATGAAATTGAGTCAAGAATTAATTATGTTGAATGATAAAGTGAATTGAGGACTGACCAGCTACTGAGATCGAGCTACTAGCCATCGTTAAGGATTGAGGTTGAGGTTAATTGAGGTGAGTTGAGATTGAAGGTAAAAGAGAAAGAGGTTATAAAGAGAGGGTAAAGTAAAGGTAAAGAATTAAAGAAAGTGAAGTGTCCTTGTTGACCGCGGTTATGAAGATACAAGTGATGAATACAGGTAATCAGACACAACACCAATTTGATCGCATAGACCCCAAATCATTTCAAATTTCACTTCAACTTTATCTTATCACTCACACTCTCACTCTCAGTTCACATCACCGCATCCTAATCAGCACCATAACTATCATAACTTCATTCACATTTGAACCCATCAAATCCTATTCCATCTCGGCCAAATCAATAATAACAACTTGAGCAAAACCCGATTGAAACACTCTCAAACAATCTCCAACGCATTATACACAAGTCTAACATTGTAAACTCCTGAAAAGAATCAACACTCATTGTGTTTGAGTGTCCTAAGAGATTGATCTAGTGTAGTGCATTTTAAATATCCTAGATTTTTTGGATCTCATTGGAAAAAGGGAAATCTATCAATCTCAATTACTTTTTGCTTGTTTGGAATTTGGTAAGCACATATGTTTGATTGGGACATGGAATAACTCAATGATATCTTGTTAATCAGACTATGAGGTGTTGAATGGTCAACAAGAATTAGTCATAAAGCCTTGGTCAACAGTCAACTCACAGTGTTTGATTTTGATTTTTCAATCAAAATCAAACATTCCTTGTATTTGTTTTGATGACTTGTGACCTCATTTTGCTTGTGTTGGATAGTGATATGCACTTTGAGAATGGTTCATGCCCATTGGGCCAACAAAATTCAATAGAGCCTCTGGATCATATGCACCCTTTAGCTCAAGATTCAAAATCAAAAATCCAAGATGAGACTGTTCAATACCAACTAACTTGACACAAAACTACAAAAAGAAACTTGAATGACAATGGCAGCTGATTTGGGAATGATTGACCACTTTTTTGGGGGAAAAATAAGTTGCTGCAGTGGTTAAGACCAAAACACTGAAAATCAGCAGAGAAACAAAACTCAGTCAAAACAAAAACCAGGTTTTGCACCATGAAGCACTTTTTAAAAAAAATCAATCATTCTCAAATTGGCTGGAACAATAATTAATTTTATACTCAAACTTCTCCTAATTGCTTACAAATTTTTGAACCACTGACATTGACCAACCATAGGAGATGAATGAAAGTGAGTTGGCTAGAATCCCAGTGCTTTGTACAGGAGAAATGATTTGGAGTTGAACAAAATCATCTCCTAGTGATTTCAAACAATAAAGAGCAGAAATTTACCAAACCAGGTTTTTGATGAAATTCTTTAGTCTAGGGAATTTACCTCATCATGCAAGACATGTGAAATATGCATTGACATAAGCAAAATGATCAGTTGGCCCAAGCTGGAGCTTCAATTCCAAAAACCCATTGTCCACCTGATTTTCAGCCAAGATATGATCAAAGGGAATTTGATGTCCTCCTAAATGTAAGAAACCAATGGGTGATGGTGCAAATTGTAAATGTACCGGTTGATTTGTCAAATGGAAACTAATTTTGTAGATGGTATATTGCAAAGTAGGCATGTCTTTTTAACAAACAAATCCAAAACAAATTGTCCATCTATCAAGGATAGAGTTTAAGTATGTTGCATTTATGAATGATAAGAATGTTGAGAGATATAATCAATGAATTGATTGCAAGAAAAGGACATCAGTGCCTTAGGTTTTGCATTGCAACAGTGTCTTTGTGACTGCTAATGAGTTCAGCAGCAGTGATTGTGATCTGAGTGGGTGTCAAAATTTTGCCAGGCAGTGTGAAGTTTTGGAGAAGGATAGACATCTTGGTAGCCTCATATAGATTCCCATTACTGTCATAAATATTTTAAGATAATAAAATCAGTGAGGTGAGATTGAAATTGATGATAGTTGCTTTGTGAGACAAGCTGAAGTTTTGAATCATCATCAAGACATTCAAAGAAAGAGACTCTATCTTTCACATGAGACCAAAATTGAGTCCATTGACCCAAAATTACAAAAGTTATGAGAATTTCCAGAACACAATAAACACAACTAAGTCCCTTGCTGCTTCTTGGACACTTTGAGCAAAGCAAGGGACTCATGACAAACTCATAAAATTTTTCCCTGTGAGGGGGATTTCATTTTGTAGAAGAAAATTGTGCTCCTTATAAAACCTTTTTCTCCATCTGGAGATTTTTGTGAGACAAAGAAATTGTGTGTTTGCTTCTATGAGACACTTTTCTCTCTAAGTATAATTTGCAAAGATCTCAAACTTCAGGGTTGTAGTGCATAAAGTTCTATAAAACATTCTCTTTGAAAACCAAGAACTATAAGTAGTAGTACTAAAGTTGATTCCACCAACCATCACATAAGACCAGACTCCAGCCTAGTTGAAGATTCTTATCTTAACATATTCTTTGAGAGTTCAACTCTGACAATACCAACTCATCTATAGTATAGTACAGAATTTGAAAACTTATCAGTCAATTAACCAAACCCAAATTGATATTCAACTCAAACCTTTCCAAAATGATTCAACCACAGGAATCTTGAAGTTGTGATCTTATTTTCATTCAAAGCAAGTATGTACAGCAGTCTCGAGAAACAATGCCACCACTTTTTTTTTTTCAATAACTCATAGACTGCCCCTGCCCCTGGGCCTAATATAGCCAGACCTTGGTGGTAAATTTGCTTTTCATTTTGATGTTGATTTTTCTCATGAAGAAAACCAAATTCCTTTAGAATTTTTTTTTCCTGGATTACTTCTTTATATACTCCACCACCACTTGATTAAGATTTTAATCCTCAAGGGTCAACTCTACAAAAGTTTCAAAAAGTTTTCAAGTTTCAATTTTTAGTAAGCATCACAAAAAACCCAGAAACCAAAAACCAAAAACCAATCCAATTTATCAAACACCTTTCATTTTCTGGTTCACTTTTTCAAAAAACCAAAAACCAAACTAAACTTTTTTTCCAACCATTGTAATTAGTTGATTTCTAAATTGAATTTTTCATGTATTCTTCTAAGGGCACATTCACTTAGGGCATGTTCACTTAAGGAATCTCTGACCAGAAACCACATTCTGTAAAATTTTTTAATCCAAACATGAAACATTTACCACCAAATAGACACAATAAATTTTGCAGAATGTGATTTCTCACCAGAAATTGCTTAAGTGAGCATGCCCTTGATGTTTTAGGTTCATTCTGTTTTTTTTTTGGTAAAGTCCAAGATGATCTGAATAAAAAAAAATGGAATCTTTCTTTCAACAACAATAACAACAACATGAAGAACATGAAGAACACCTTGAGGGTTTTTTTTTGGTTTTACAAACACTAAGACATATACTACAAACACACACATATACATACACACACTACATAAAGATGAAGTACATCAAGATGGGATTAACTGAAGAGACTTATTGAACAAAATTACCCCCCCCCCAAAAAATGAGATTACTTATGTACTACTTTCATGATAAGAATACTGATGAGAATAACTACTGATGAGAATAATAATGACGAGAATAAATATTGATAAGAATTAATACTGATAAGAATCAATAGTAATGAAGATAGTAATGAAGATAATACTGAGGATAATAATGAGAATAAAAATGAGAATAAAAATAATGAGAGTAAATACTGATAAGAATGATAAAAATGATGTTGATATTAATGTGAATAATAATGATGATAATATTAATGAGAATAATAATAATAATGATAATAGATCGTTTAAGACAAAGAAAAACTAAAAGATTAATATTTTGATCAAGTTTGATATGGGTAAATGAACTTATCCATATATTTTTTGGGGTTAGGGGTTTAGGGTTTGATTGAAAGCCAGAATCACAAATGATCTTCTTCCATCACTTCTTTAATCTCATCAAGATGATTCCCAAGATGATTAGTATGATTAGTATGATTAGTATGATTCGAATGATTAGGATGAGGACGATTGGAATGAAGATGACTGAAATTAAACTGAGACTTAAACGTCGAACCCAACTCATTCAAAGGAGAAAGAGTTTGATGAATAGAAGGAGCTTCAAACCAAGTAGGACGATTGGGATGATTAGCATAAGCGGCTCGATCAAGTTGATAGTTTCGTTCAGATAACCTTTGATATTCTTCTCCTTTGGTGATATTCGAAATCAATTCGATCGGAAACAAGATCATGGTTTTCATCAACTTAATCCATACTAAGATCGGAATCGTTAGATAGTACAAGATCCATTGACGAAGTTTGATGCTCGGTTTTGGGGGAGAAACTCGAACGTTGGATCGGAGCGGCGTAGGAATAAATTCGACTTCAGCTTCACGCGTTTTGTAATCCGTTGGTGGGTTCTCATCATGTTTTATATTATTCATTTTCTTTGGATTCACTTTAGTTTGATCACTATCATGATCAGATTCATCACTCTCATCCAGATTCTCGAACCGATTCTCGACTTTCGCTTCCAGAGGTTCGGCTTGAGAAACAGTGGTCATTAATTGAATGATCATCTGAGCAATCGTATGAATCGGATTGGATTTAATTTGATCTTGTTCTAAAACCAATGAATTCAAATCCACTTTAGTCTTCATCAATTGACTTTCTAATCGGTTTAACGTCTTAGCCAACTCATGACATTCTTGGGTGATTTGAGTTTTACGAATCTGATCGGCATCTAATTGATGTGAAAGAGTTTTGGTGAGTTTTTCAATTGGGTTTTCTAAATAATTAGTTTTCAAAAGTGATAATTCATAACTTGATATCGAATTAGATTCTAATCGGTTCAATTGATCTTTTAATTCTCCTGAAATCTTTTTTAATTCGATCATCAAATCTGTTGGAAAATGTAATTTGGTTTGTAAATAATCAGTTCGATTCATTAACAATCCAATCAAATGTCCCATCGGTTTGATCAATGAAGATAATAAGAATAAGATGATCGTATTTGAATTTAAATAATCTAATGTGATGGAAGTCTTGAGTTTAGATTGAATGATGTTTAATAATAAGATACCTAAACTAGGTGAGATGATAGCCATGAATAAAGAGATTAATTCATATCTTTGAAGTTCAGTAGTATAACCTAAGAGATCAGCTTTAGGATGAAGAATCGGATTGGATGAAAGATGATTTGAATCTGATTTGATTTGATGAAGGATTCGAGTAGTACGAGATGAAGCATAGATTTGCCATGGAACTGTGTTAAATCAATCGATTAAGCAAGTTAGTATAGTTTTATGTGAAAAAGTCAAGAGAAGAGTAATAAATACCTTTTGTAAGTTTATATAGTATGAAACCGATTAAGATGAGTAGTAAAGTATCAGTCCAAGATTCAGAATCACCATGAATCAAAGAACCTAAACTTGGAATCAAAGCAAATAATAATGGTAACCAATGAGTTCCACCAAATTGATGATCTTCTTCTAAACGATGGATGATATGTTCTTGATCTGATGTACTAGAATTAGATTCTGATAAGTTTGGTCTTGTTGATGATAAGTTTGATTTTCTGTTTGAAGAGTGAATTGACATTGTTTCGATTTGAGAAATTGAAGAATTGACAAGCTGGAATGGGAATGGGATTGGATCAAGTTTGAAATTCAATCTCAACTTTCTTTTATTGGTCAGTCACTGTATATTTACTCTTTAAGTAGATTTTAACTTCAATCATCTTCATCTTCATTTCTCTAATCTTCACAAACTACACTCATTCAAGTCTCATCATTTCTTAAAAAATACATTTCAATCCAATTTACAAAAACAGCACACAACCCATCAAATCCATCATAGTAAATCACAACAATATCCATATCAAAACAAATACAAATATATATATAATCATCATCAAATCAATTCGGATCACTTAACAAATCAAAAGACTTAGGTATCTCATCCACATCTACAACCTCAAGTTTCAATCTTCTCTTAACCTCTTCATCTTCTATCACTTTTCTTTCTTTCTCTGCACGTGAAATCAATCGAATCGATTCTTCTAACATATATAATCGGATTCGATGTGATCCTTCTGTTCTACATTCTGGACATTGTACTAGATTAGCTTCATAAGGTTTAGAACTCCGGGTCGGTTGGTTTGGTGGGTTTCTGGTTGGATTATTAGATGATTTGGCCCAGGATTCAATACAGTTTTGACAAAAAGTATCTAATGAAATGAACCAATTCAATAATCGATTCGAATCGATTCGATTGGGAGTCTTTTGGGTTTTTCTTGGGAGAGAGATTGAACAACTTACGACCACATCCTAAACTTACGGCTTCTGATCTTTCTAATCCATCATAACATAATGGACAAGTTAAACATTCTCGTAAGGTATCGATTATAGTTGACAGTTGATGATGTGATCTCATCAAGCCTGGACTCGATAATGGAAAACTTTCGGCATCTTCTTTTAATCTTTTGATGATCTATATTATGTTTATTGAAATCAGTCAATTTGATCACACACACTCACTCTTTTTCATTAGAATCCTTTTTCTTTCCTTACATCAATGGGGTTTTGAGAAGGGGTTTTTTGGGTTTGACTTAACTATTGATTGAACTGATAATTGTTCTTTTAATTCGCTAATCGTATCCCAAGCAGCTTCACATTGTGATCTAGAAACTTCACTCAACTAAATCCCCCCCAAAAAAACCAAAAAAAGAAATCTATCAATTCAAACTAGTACTTTCAAGAATCAATTTAATGATGTTGAAATTTAACTTGTTCTTTAGTTCTAATAGTATCTTCTAATTCTCTTAATTTTCTTTCAGCATGTATCTTTGACATCTTCATCACATTTAGTTCAGTGGAAAGTCGATCGATCGTTTGGGATTTGCTTTCTCCTTTTCTTTGGATCGGTTGGGGTTTGTTGGGAGATGAACTTTCGTCTGGTAATTGGATAGGTGGTGGGGTCATCTTTGAGGAGGGTTTGGGTTGAGTTGGTTGGATTGGTTGAAACTTGAAGGGGGTTTGAGTCTGGTTTCTTTTTTTTTGGATGTCTAGTTTGGAAATTACTCGTTGCTAATGAATATTAATTGCTCACCGTCTCACGGGTATCAGGGTCGAGACCAAAGTCACGGGTCTTCTTGATCCATCTGTCCATCACATCCACAATCGAATCTTCTCACTCCAAAAGATTTCATCAACAAGAACATTCAGAATTGGTACATAGAATTAAAGTGAAATATTCAGATTTGTAAACTTTCAATCACAGAATTTCTTTAGGATTTGATTGTAGGATCATACTGGTGCTCACTTAATAACCCAACATATTCCAACACATCCAACTTCAACCAAACCTCTGGTCTACTTCATAGCTTAATTATTTTACAATGTATATCCTCATCGGAGTCCTGATACATACGTCTTATAAACCGTGGTAAATTCTTGGCCATCCACATACTTTCAATTATGTTTTATAAATCGTAGGGTAAGGAAGATTGATGGACCAGTGGTGTATGTTGTACATATGTGCAATTATAGATCGGATCTCCTTTATTCACCAGGATTTTCTCCTGGTTTGAATGTGTGTATGTGTATGTTTACCAAATTCCAAGCTGTGTAAGATGATTTTAAGAAGAGAAGTTTAACTTGAGGTTTGGATCTTCTGCTGTGTGTGTTCTATGGTGATCCAGAGGCTGCTATATACGAGTAGGAAAAGCGACTTTATAGAATTTCATAGCAATAATAATTGACCTACCTTAACTTTTTTGCCTTTTCCTCTCTTGATCTTCGTTCATTTACAAATTCTTGAGTATGTATACAATTCTCGATTTCGATTTTCCAGTGTTGAGAACTCAAGGTTTTTAAATTCGAGTAAAGTACCACTTTATATCCAACTACATACTGTTCACCCAATCACTTGGTACCACATGGATGGATGGATATCCATCGGAACATCAAAAACCTATGTATTTCCTTCCACTGAGATAAAGCATCATATATGCTAAATAGACTTGTGAGATACCTTAGATCGCTCTCAGCTACTTTATTGTTGCCTGGACTTGAACTTGGTTTACGTCCGTAGTTTCTTCTTATCATCATGTGATTTCTTCCCCGACCGATTTCTCGATAAATACAATTGCTCGAAACTATGGATGTTTCGACTTTCTATAATTTACATTTTTTTTACCTTATCTGATTATATCTGGTCTTCTCTTGTCAATCATTATGATTATGAAGACCATGCATTAATTAATATCACTGTGTGTATCCTTATAAATTCTGGTTCCATGTATATATATATTCCATCTTATCCAGTTTTTCGTCCTCATTGATCTCTTTTGTAGTATCTATTTGAAGTCATTATTACAAACTATTTTTCTGGTTTACACGATGTTCTTGGGGTTTAGGTATTCCTTACTTTTGGCTATTGGTACTTTATTACACCTTATCAAATCAAATCCATTACCATCTTCAGAATCAAACTCAAGACCAAGCTCTTTAGAACCCATCAATTCGATTCATACCAAACGTGCATCAATTACTAATCGAAAAGTTTTTCAAACTTGTTCTAAACCTAAACTTTTGTCTCTTACATTTGATGATGGACCTTGGATTTATGAAAATCAAATTTCAGATTATTTGAAAAATCGTGATATCTTGGGAACTTTTTTTGTTAATGGTAATAATTATGATTGTATTTATAATCCATCGATTGTTGATCAACTTAAACATAGTAGGTTTTGGATTTTGTCTGATCATGTTCAAGTGCTCTGTTTCACACACATATCATATCACAACATTATTACTGATGTTCATTTTTTGTTTTTGTTTAACTTAGCTTTCGAGCAGGGTCATTTGATCGGATCACATAGTTTGTAGTTTTTTTTGCTTGATCTTTAAAGGTGAAAGTTTTCTTTTAACAAGTCTCTTAACTTGGCTTTCACTAGCATGGTCTCATCCTGATATCACCAAACTCAAAGATTCCGAGTTCAACGTCGAACTCGATAGGATAGAGACCGCTTTAAAAAGTTAGTCATAGATATTCCAGACCCCAATGACTTTTCTTCTTCACATTTACTGATGGTATGCTCTCACTTTCTGTGAAACAGAGATACTAGGAGTAGTACCTAGATATTTCAGAGCCCCGTACGGTAAGCATTCTCTTAGATTGTCATCTCCAACCACGTTTCTTAAAGATTGATAGGTTGGTGATATGTCATCATTTCAAGGAAACACTGATAATCGTACACTTGAGATCTTGGCTAAACGTGGATATAAAGTCATTGATTGGAGTTTCGATGCTGGAGATGCTAATGGAGATCCACCAGAAGATTCAATTAAAGGTTATTCAACTCTTTCCAAATCGTTTCCAACTTCTCATATCACTTTAGTAAGTTCTTTTTCAACCTAAGATTTGATTTCATGGTAGATATAATCTTAAAGGATTAATTTATATCTCAAACTTTTATAAATTTGATTTGATTTGGTTTAAATAGAATCATGAAACTTATGAAACTACAGCAAATAAAGTAATACCTTATGCTATAGATGTTTTACAAAAATCAGGTTATAAACTCGTTAGTATTTCAGAATGTTTAGGATTTCAAAATACTCCAAATGATTTTTATCAGTTTGTTGGAAAACCTCAAGAACGTGATGTGAGTGAGGATTTCTTATTTTTTTCTATTATCTCTTCACCTAAGTTTAAATCATTCGTTTTCAACTAATCCTTTTTCTTTTTTTGTAAAACCAATAGAGTTCTTGGACATGTGATTGAAACCTAGAATAAGACCAGTTCATTGTGTATTTCAATAATGGCAGTTAAATCTGAGTTTTGTGATCTCTTTGTTGACTCAATATAAACTTCTTGTAACCAAGATTTCTTGTACACTACATCTTCCACTAACTCAATCTTTATCAATCTTTTGAACATTTTCACATCTTTATTTGTGACCTATTTGTTTAATTTCATTACATTTAAATCTTGATGTATTGAAAACAAATTAGGCCACTTTTGGGGGTTTTTAAAGCAACGAGCTTTTTCTCTCAGTTTCAACACGGGTTGTTAGATGAGAAAAGAACCGAGGATTTCTTAATTTGAGATCTAAAGCTGTGACGAGTAAGCTTGTTCAGATAGAATTGAATAAATCCTATGCAAGCAAACACGTCGAAATTTTTGTTGATGGCGTATGAAGCTTGTTTTCAAAAATTGAAGACATGATATATATTTTAATTTAATAGAAGGAACTTTGGCAGGTTATACAAGGTAAGAATGTTTTTCAAGAAACTCAACCTTGTTGGAATGAATCTCTCTACAAATAGATGGCTTCAACGCAAAAAGACTTGTAGTTGTTACATGGCGATAGTTGTCGAAAATTGAGCCAGGCGATTTTCCATCTTGCCAGAAGAGCTATTTGGTGTACAAAATTTGGAAGAAAGACCACTCTTGTCATCACATGCTACCATGCTGATGGTACATGTCATCTCCAGTACGATGGGCATCTTAAATTGGAAAACAATCATAGGATGTTAGTATACAAATTCCATTTGCTAATAGTTTTCAGGCTTGACTCAACTCAGCTTTGACCGTCTCCCAGGCTAGGTCCACAGCTGAAAGAATATCGTCTGGAAGTGGACCTTCTTCTGAATAGGAACAGTTCATCTCGATTTGATCAACTGAAGAAGCGCCCAAAATCACCCGATCCTTGGGCTGCAATGCAGAATGATGTTGTAGCCATCGAGCTGCTACTGATACTAAAGTTATGTCAGGATGACCTTGCAGAGACTCTTTTACAATCTTCAATGCTTTGAAATGACTGGTTCGGAGGTATCGCTCGCGGTACTGCAAAAGAGGAGCCGCGCGTAAAGACCAATCCAAATGTTGTGAAAAGAATATAATCTTTCTTATGCATACCATCGCACCTAGTTTATGGCTGGGATCGAAACGGCCACCCCCTTCGATTTGATCGTCGGGTTTCATAATCTTTCCGGCGAAAAATCCTCCGGCTGGTGAAGGGATTTAAGTAAGTTGTTCAAAGACTTGCATCTCTAGTAAAGCTCATTGATATTATGGCTGACCTAATGGGTTATAGATAGCCAAACGGATTCCCAAAGATCGACAGCAAGGAAAAAGCTGGATCGCAGTTTGGGTCAAAAGAGTTCAAAAATAGTGATACAAGAATAAGATAGATAAAAAAAGTAATGCTCACCTCAGTTTCGATAGATCTAGTGATGGCATTGTACATACCCTGATAAATCGTTGGTTTAACATAACCATTCTTATCACAAATTCCCCACATGATGGCCACTTCCCATGCAGCATAATTACTAAGGCCGAGTTCTGTAAACTTTCCTTCTCGGTATAGTTCGTCACAAGCTTTTAAAGTCTCTTCGAATGGAACTGATCGATCTGGCGCATGTAGATAGAACACACGAATTTTTGGTACCTTGAGTGCATTCAAAGTTTTTTCTAGTGTCGCTTTGACGAGCTCTGGCTTATAATCTCCTGGTTTCTGGTTGATCGTATACGTCGAAAGCCATAAAAATAAGTAATTGACCATATATATCATAGCATACACCTAGACAAACCGCTGGGAAGCATTTGGAATCGATCGACAACCCTGAACAGTTTAGCTTGCCAAGCATCTCTTCCGTAGTCCCTTCGCCGTCTACCGAGGATCGGTCGAGTGATGAGAATCAGAAGAAGCAAGGAACGCAATGAAAATGGTAAGCTCACAAAGTCTTGCGGTATCTAACTCAGTATGACCATGCGACTTGAAAACATCGATGAATTTTTGAGCCGTACCCAAGTCATGTATCCTGTCAAAGTAGGATTCTCGTTACCAGATCAAGCGTAAAAGATTGCAGCTTACTAGAGGATTCAATCAGATTATCAACAAACTCACCTTGAGCCAAACTCGCCCTCATTCGCAATTGCCACAGTCCTTGAAAGTCACATTAACTCGGTCAGGATAGATTGATTGATTGTTGGATTGACATTCAACGTACCCCAAGATTAGAGGTATTTTTGTTTGCTTTGTGCTCGTCATCCCTCTGTCTATGCAAGAGCTCAGGGTAACAGAAGTGTTCACAAGACAGGATTTGGGCGATTATCCTATAATCAGGAAGGTATGACACTGAAAATGTGTGCTGAAGACTGAAGAGCTCTCAAAAGCGTGTCTGCAACATAACGAACTGGACCATCATGGGCCTATGACGTCACTTGCAGGAGATTTTCCGTGTAACCTGCCAAAAGTCCCACGATGTCGGACTGCAGTACATGTTACAGGGTGTTACAGGCTGTTACAGGCTGTTACACTGTTACAGGCTGTTACAGGTGTCTGGAGAATCGAGTCAACTTCAAGTCACAAACTTTTGGGGAGTTCTTAAGCAAGAGAAGATATTCACATTTCCACACATTCTCCAATAGGACCCAGAAGGACATCAACCAGATTATGCACGTAGAAATGCTGAGATCACAGCACAGTTGTACTTTCAATATGAATTTAGACAAAGTGATGAATAGCTGATTCTGTTAAAAATGCAGTGAAGCAAACTTGTTGTAGATATACAACACGAAGATAACCCTGGGTAAGCTTCCTTCGTAAACTAGCATGTCCCGTTGGTCACTGATAGAGCCGGATGATTCAAGAATCTACGATCAGCTCTGGATTAACAAAGAATTCGACATCGATGGATTCGCGATGACCAGAACACAAGAGCTACCCTGTTAGGCAAATCCATGTTTATTTGGCTCGTTCCTTACACTGGGGAGAAAAATCTGTCACAAAAGGTAAACTGTGATTGGCTTTGAAGGACTTGTTGTTTGACGGCCGATGAGACGAATTGGATGGAAGAAAAAATCATAAATGAGGCGGGAGAGATCTCGATTCTTTGGCAAATCGGCATACATACATACAATGTTCTTGATTTTTATCTTGTATATATGCCACTTTCTTTATTTATCATATCGATACATAAGCTTTGTCCGTCATGATTCATGAGTATCACGTTTTGACTTGTTTACACACTTTAGCCGATCACAGTACTGTGATCGTGAACCCGTATCAGTCGGAAGGGCTATCCCTAAACTGGGTAAGAACTGAGAAGCGGAGGAACGAAAAACATTCCTTCTGAATCGAAATGGATTGCTAGTACTACGAATCTGACTTGAAAGGGTGTGCATATAGTTACGTTGGAGTGAACCTATGTGGAATCGAAGTCATCTTGAAGTACATACATTTTAAGTGATATATGCGAGATGAAGATCAACTGAACTCGCAATGGAAAATGAAAGAAATGAAAGAAAACTTTGAGTCGGCTCGATTATTTTACCATCACAGTGAATGCCAAGTTAAAGTTCGACTCAACATTCATTTATGTACCAAAATTGTTATCACACTTAACCTCCTTACCCTAGACATGCGTCGCAACTAAGCAGATTACTTGATGTGATGGAAATCGGTGGAATTTATTGTGTTTGGTCTCAAGAGGCGAAGGTCTTTAACATTTCAATATGACTTGCCATTTTTTGTGATCCCGCATATGACACACATGATTTCTTCCTGATCAATTTAAGCAAAGACATGGTGGATTATACTACGATCAGAAAAGATTCGGCATATCAAAACAGAGATCAACGCAGATCAGGACCATTGCTTTTCTGGAAAGGTATATATGAGAGGTCATTCGGGACGAATGACTCTCGTTCGTTCATCAAAGGTTATTCAAGCACCTTATTTTTTGAAGTCTGTAAACCTTCTATAAACCTTCCGTTCATCGCGCGAATACCCTCTCGGAAGTCATTCATTCATGAGATGCTGTCGTCTATAATCATACTCGTCACTCTACTTCAGCAGACCGGCGCGTTCCCTCGAATGGTTGTTCAACTTCCATGCAAACACTCGAAAGGTGTGTATATGGGCAATATACTGATTCTAAACTACTTTCAATAGTTCGCGGAGCGTGCCGGCGCGTCGAACCTTACGCCTGAACAACGGGGGCCACAATCACAGCAGCTTCTGGACTTGGTCCACTTGATACCAAGTGAGTATTCTGTCTTATAAACTTTGTATCGAAGAACATATTTCCACTAAGGCCACCTTACTTTTAGCTGTGCTTAATTTGAAACCCGTTCTTCCAACTGGGCGTAAACGGATCCCGGATGATGACCATCCCTTCATGGTCAGTTATAACGTCTTTCAAGCTAAAGACAATCTCTGAGAAGTGACCCTGGATGTTCTGGGACGCCTTTATCCTACTGTAGCCACCCGGACCCAATGACATTAGAGGTATGAACCTCGTATAAACTATCATTATAACTCTTCCTCATGTCATTTCTGGCAACATCCAGGTGGTTGTCCAGGTCTCAACATAATGGCAAATTATGGTTATGTTAGTCTTTTGTCTTTTGTTTTTGCCTACCAGTACTCTGACATAACAAACTCCGTCAATATTCTCAATGTACAGATCTCTCGCAATGGCATCACCGACGTGGGTGAAATGATGTACGGGATGCAAGAGATGCTAGGATTTGCTTTCGATACTGCTGCAATCGTTACTACGCTGGGCATCAAATCTTCCACCGATCTCACAACGTCAGAGCTCTTGTCTACTTGATTGGTTTGGCTGATTATGTAGCTCACATTTTTTTTCGGTATAGACTTAAAGCCTCCATTGGTCGAACGGACTCTAGGACCGACGGGCCCCTTTCGGGACTTTTTGGAACCGCACCTGGTTTCTTTTCCGAAAATGCTCACAATAAGTTTGAAATCGATGGATCTCTTACACGCGTTGACGGATATTTTGCGAATGGAGATACCGATCATTTTGATAGCGATCATTGGAAAAAATATCGACAACTTGCCAGTAAGATGAGATTTTTTTAAAAACTTATTGTAGAATTTTGTTCTGAGTATGTACATATTTCATCCCCCTCAGTCGATCACTTTGGAGGCGTGATGGATTTCAAGTTCGAAGGAGCAGCCAGGTTTATGCAGGTCCGTTCACATCTTTCTTTGCGTCTATCAGATTTGCTCTTGTGAGCTTAAAATTCTGAAGACCTGAACCTTTACACAATCAGTACAAAGAATGTCGGGAAAAAAACCCCGAGTGTACATGGGTGAGCAAGCAGCAGAGACCAAGTATCACATTTGCTTCGCCTTACTGATATACATACTTCTTTGTCAGGCCCCTGGAGAACAGTCAGTGACTGCAACCTGCTCAGGCCCTTACATCACGAATAATCAGCGAGTCTAAATTTTGTGTCAAACAGGCTTTCACTCTATATAGCTCAGGCCTTTGTCTCTGACACAATGACATCCGCCGACGAAAACGGAAACCTACTACCTCCCGATGTGCGATCTATTGAGACGTTCCTTGGGATCGTTGAAAATCCAGATGGAACGTTTTCACGTACCGCTGGCAAACTGCCACCCGGTCCCGATGGGCATTGGTATCGCCGTTCAGTACCCCTTGCGGTGAGTGTTGTTTCATTTCCAGCTACACAATTCTTACATACGATGAAAAATTGACCGAGGCTCCAATAACCCAATTATAGTTTGTCGAGCAGGCGTTGAGTCTACGCGAGACATTGCTTGCTTGTGAGTACCGTTTCATCAAATAATCCCAAGAGATCGTCTTGTTGGCACTGCAATTATGCTCTAGACTCTGACTTGAGATGTCTGCGTTTTAAAATCTTATCATATACAGATCCCGTAAGTGCTTTGCTTAAGGAATATCATATGGGAGGAGTTTTCATCCCGCTTTCTTTTGCTTGTTCTCCAACGGCAGGTGGAGTTCGGGCGAAACAATGGAAATCTTGGGCATTGGGACGCAGACTTAACTGACCTTCGAAACATAGAACAAGCCAATGTTGCTTGCTATATCCTTCAACAAGTTGAGTCTTTGGAAACCAATCTAAATATCCAATTATCTAAGTGAGGAGACTTATGAGATAACACGACCTCCACTTCAGACGCGCGATCCTAAGGACTCAAGATACGCAAACAATCCGGTAATGAATGAAGCTTTAGGTGTTCTGCTTAAGAACACTCTTCAGCCTATATTTGAACAGCTTGGCTGCAAATAAGGAACTTGTGTTCCAAAGAAAATGTTACACAGTCATTTCATCAATTCTACTTTTATACCACAATTTCTCTGTCATGCACCTTTGCGCGTAGTCATGCCTTCTGAATCATCTGAATCATGTAATAACATTCCATTCTCTAGGGGATCGTCACGAGTCCGGGTCCCTGATGAGACCCTGACTAGCTAGTTGGTAGTTGACCAGTGTCTGCTACACAAGTCTGTCCTACCACGTACCTAGGATACCGCCCTCCATCGAGGAGCCAGCAGCCTACAGGGTTGTGGTTTGGGGGTGGGCCCGGAGGTAGGGAAATCAGGGGTGTTGGTACTTTCCAACCCCATTTCCCTACCCCCAGGACGAGGACAGAGCCTGAGGAGCCATCGACTTCTCAACCCCCTCACTCACGAGAGGGAGCCGTGAGCCGGAGAAGTCGCCACTCCCCAACCTCGACTCACGTGAGTGTCTCTTGCCTCCCCCCAATCCCCTGGTACCTCACCCACGTCTCGTACTACTTTACCCCTTACCGTGAGGTCTATCTGCAAACCCGGACCGCCTTTATTTCTAAACTGCCGAGGCGTGCAGGTCATTTGAGTTCACTCAATCAGATACAAGGCGGGCAAGAGGATTACCCTCTCGCGAGCCTGCGGGTCGCGTTGCCCCCCTGCCAAACTTTAAATTAGGTTCTACCCAGATTCATGTAGATCCCCCAACTCAATGCATGTATTACAGGCCATCTCCCAATACAATCAACATACAACAAAGTTTACGCCTCATCTCAATTTCAACTCGTTCAGTAGCCTCACCGTCTCCTTCAATTCTCTCTCATCAAATTTCCTCAGATAAATCTTATACGCGTCCGAAGACCACCGACCTATCCTCTTTACTTCCTCTCTAGACGCCCCTAGGTTCCACCTAAGCGAGGCACCACCGATTCTGAATGAATGACCATATAACAGTTTCTTGTTCGGCGGCCTGTTTTCGTTCCATCGCTTTCTATAGTTTTCAATCAATCTAGTTTTCTTGAAGACCAGGCCTTTCTCAACGCCGTCGTTCATTCCGAAGATATGTTCGTCATTCCTCCTCGGGCGAAACTGATAGAGGATTCGCAGCGCCCTTACTGGGTCAAGACAGGACTTTTGGTCTTGAAGATGTATGTATTGGACTTCACCCGGTCCTGCCGTCTTCGCAAAGTGTATAGCTATCCTGACGTACGAATCGTTCGGACCCCACTCGACGTCATCCCAAGTTGGAAGGAATTTCCCCGGGTCATCCGACACCAGTTCACCTAGGCGAGCTACTCCCCAGAACGCTACAAGATGTTACGATATTATCTGGTTAGTGTTACGATATTATCTGGTTAGCTGGTCAAAGATCACAATCCCTTAAAAGGAAAGTGAAAGGTGTTGGATTTAGAAGGGTGTATGTGGTGAAAGTAGACTAATGCGCTGTGGGTAAACTAGGAAGTTGGACAAAGGGATAAGCGATGTGGAAAATGTAGACAGGGGTGTTGGGAAAATCGTTTGGGAGTTTTCTAATATCTTTTGTGTTTCTCTTTCCCTCTTTTCTGATTCTTTTCTTATCGAAAAGAATCAGTAAGTTATTTTACTTTTACATCATCATAGTTACTTCTCGATTGTGCACTACTAACTTTACTCAAATACTTAGATTTTTATTTCAACTCTTTTGTTGTCTGTTTAAGACCTTTCCCTTACGCGCGATCTCAATTCATTTCGAGCTCGCAGGTAGACTCTCTTCTTTCCTTTACTTTTCTAAACTTGTTCATTGTTTTGATAGTTCTCTTGTGTTGTTGATGTTGGTAGGTCAGTTATTATTGTTCTCGACGTGACTAGCGGATAGCTGTAGTCTTACGCCGGAACCTGTGCCCTCAGGTTAGTTAATCGAAAAGAATCAATTTTTATTTCAACTCTTTTGTTGTCTGTTTAAGACCTTTCCCTTACGCGCGATCTCAATTCATTTCGAGCTCGCAGGTCAGTTATTATTGTTCTCGACGTGACTAGCGGATAGCTGTAGTCTTACGCCGGAACCTGTGCCCTCAGGTCAGTTATTATTGTTCTCGACGTGACTAGCGGATAGCTGTAGTCTTACGCCGGAACCTGTGCCCTCAGTGTTCATTGACTGCTACAGATTATCCTGCGACGACGTCCCACCTAGATACCCTTGTGGTTCTAGAGTTTCCTTTCGTCGAGAACTCTTTACAAGAGCGATAGTTGTGGCCACGATCGATGATTCATCAGTCATCACCGTTCCTTCAGCTAGCTTCACAAGGTCTGAGATTAACACCGGGGGCCTCTTCTTCTCTATCTCCTTATATCTAGCCTCCACCATCATCAACGCCTTTATCAACTTCGTTACCACCCTGTCAGTGTCATGAGGGAAATCGCGATTGTGAAAGATATGCCACGCTTTCACTCCCGATATGTAAGCTTTTATTGTTGACGATTTTACCGATTCGTCGTCCCTTGCTAACTCTTCTCCTTTCCTCAACATCCAGACAACAAACTGCATCACTACATCTCTCGAGATTGGCAATAACTCCTTCTTATCCACCTTTTTCACCACCGCAAACCTAAATAACTTCACTATCGCTGAGTTATAGTGTTTTAATGTTCCATCCATCCATGCTCCCCTTAAATAATGTTTCTGTACTTCATTTACCCCTGAACAGTCGACTCCCCACGCATCGCCTTTGAAACTTCAAAACGTCTTCGTTACCCTCTTCAACTCTACATCTGATTTGCCGACTGCTTTCTCTGACGTCTTGTCGAGCGTGGTCCTCCTCCTAGGCATCTTGCTCCGGATCGATAGGTTCTGGGATGGAAATTTGTGATAGTAAGGGTCGAAGGTCTGTCGGGACATCCACTACTACCTCATCATTCCACCCCTTCCCTCTAAAGATACCCCTTGATAGCTCGTCTGCCAGGTTATTCTTCGACGTGACACGTCGCTGCTTGACGTTACAGCCTAAAGAGGTGAGTAAGCGCTGTATTCGCTTCCATTCGTCGTTTACTCTAACGTCCTTCGACTTTCTATTCTTAATGGCATTCTCGGTCGTGGTGTTATCTGTCTCGACCCAGAACGTCCGTCCTCTTACCGGAATTAGCTTGGCCAGGACTATCAGACCAAGCCGAATCATCACTGTCTCCGCCCAAGCGATGTTTTGCTTCCCCGATGTGAGTCCATTCACTAACCAGTCCTTTTCCCATGCGAAACACGCCCAATTTCGGCCAATCAAGATCCCAATGCTAACAAGAGAAACCCTTTATCAGACTCTGTCACCATCTCCGCTTTGGCGTGAGTAAGATTACTTACCCAAAGGATGATGACGCATCCCCAACCCAGCCCACTTCTTCCGGGTCTGGGCAGGTAATTAGTCTTCTTGGCTCGAAAGTTCGCAGGCACTCGTCCCATTCTACTAGGTCCGCTAAGACGTCTTCTGGGGCATGTCTCAGCGCGTCCAGGTTTTGCCAGGACTTTAACCACCTGTAGATCGAGCCTAGATAGGCCGCCATGTGAGGCACCATGCACACGATGTGGTTCAGTCGACCGACGAACCGTTCCACCTGTGTAAATTTCCACGACTTCTCCACGTTCAGGTAAGCCGTCACTTGGTCCATCCTTTCCTGCAATTTCGCCTGTGGAAGTCTCACCGTGTGATCCACTCCGTTCCAAATGAACCCCGGAAACTTTTGCTCTGTATCGAAATCCCGGTTTTTCAGCCTATTCGTCTTCACCCCTAGACCATTACTCAGGTGAGTAACCTCCTCTAGAGTTACCCTGTCCCCTGGTCTCCTGAAAATCAAATTGTCATCCACCCATTGGAAGATCATCGGGATCTTCAGTAACACCATCATGATCTTCTTCCAGGTCTCAGCGGGCGCACCAAACACCCCACAACTCGCAACACCTCCAAAACCTACAGCAATATCAACCCAGATTCTGCCTTCGAAGTCCTTAATGCACAAGAATCTCCTCTGAGATGGGTGGTTGTGGAGTTGGCGGTATGCCTTCTCCCAATCAAACAATGCCACTTCCCATTCTTCCTGATTTTCCACAAAGAATCTTGCGACCATCTTAAGATCATCCCAATTGGTACTGTAGTTCTTCTTATCAACAAATGAATTCACCGATGGAATTTTCGGTCCTTCCTCGTGGTCCACCTCCTTCTCACTCTTCTTATTCTTGGAGGTACGCTTTCTCTGTCTTCTTTTCTTCGGGTGAGATAAATCGTTAATCAGACGCACTGACCCATCTCCATTTATAGCACTACCCATTGGGTTCGTCCTGAAGAAACCGAATTTCGCATATACTTGCTCATGCGTAAACGGCCCCAGAAGTCTCCCTGCTCTGGCTTCTTTCGCTATCGTATTATTAATCTGGTCCTTCACATCGAAGGCTGACCAATGGTTATCAGGTGTGTACCACCTCAAACCTTCTATCTCATGTTGCGGGATCCCCAAACAGAAACCGTCATTGAAACCGCCTATAATATACGGTATGTCGTCCTCAAGTCCAACTTCTTTCATCAGCATTTCCCATTCCGGGACATTCATTGAGGTCCTGACCGGTGCCGGCCAAAGATTGTCTGTTTTGACTTTGTACAGCTTCTGTTGGCTCAGAGGTAGGATACCTGTCTTTTTCAAGTTTTCTCCCCTCTCTGACTCATCTGAGGAGCTCGGATGATCTGAGCTCAGTTCCTCTACCTCTACTGGGGCTGGTACACCAGGCTTAACGGGACCTCCATTCACAGGGGCCTCCGCGTCAACTTGGGCTCTGAAGTCGACTCTTTCAACACTGAACGGTACACAGCAATCTGGTCACAGGATTCGTAACAATTTCAGAACTTTCATTTCCAGAGCATAGTCTCACACTAGACAATTAATCAACTAATCAATAGTAAAGAGTACCGTACCATCCAATGACCAAGCCAGACCAAATCAACCAAGCCCATCCAAGACGCCAATCAACGAGATCACTTATCAGTTCACTACTCCTTAGAGTGTTCTCAGGAACTAAGCACTCACCGATCAGTTGTCCCATCTCCTTTCCCGTTCTTCTTCCCTCCTTTCCCAGAACCAGAAGCCACACTACTCGCGTGCTGTTGTCCAAGAGCAACCCAGTCCTTCCCAGAACCGCCTTCTCTCCTCTGGAAGTTACCATTTGACTGACTTGTCTGCTGGTACGGCTTTGAGTAGTTCTGAAAATGCCCTCTGTTCCCTCCTCTCTTCTTCCTCTGCTTACCACCACCCTTAGCACCTTCTTGATCTTGTGAGTCATCCGAGTACACCTTAGACCTCTTCTTCGCATTGGCTGATGATTCTTTCTCTTGCCCAGTCATGAAATCGAAACCAAACTTCGGTTGGCCTGGGGCGTAAGGATTCCCCTTGCACTTCAGATCACCCGCGGTCTGAGCGTCCCATCTTGCGTCTCTCTCCGCCTCCTCTTGCAGTCCGTCTGGTAAAACAATCGGTTCATCTTCGTGCTTCTTCTTTCCCTTATCCGTTAATGTCTGCGTTCTAACTCTAAATATCACGGCTCTAACTGCTAGATGATACCTCAATGCCACCATCCAACATTTGTGCTTCCGCGAGAGCATACTGACTATATCTTTATGCATCTGCACGAACTTCGCATAATCAGCATACTTGTACCACTCCATCGCATACCGATACTCCAGATCACACGCCTGGATGAAATCTCCGTACGTCATCTGCCTCTCAAGCACTCCTCTCGCTGGCATATACTTATCCCAGCTTTCTTTCCCCGCCTTCGACGTGCACGTTGTCTTGTACAGGTCGATGTATGAAGCGTCGAATACCGTCAGAGGGACGTAGTATTTCATTTTACGGAAATTCTTCTCCCAAGGTACCGGCAGATCGGGGAGATCGAAACCCGACATTTGTTTGAACACGAACGCCGGGCATTTGGCCTTCTTACCGTTGTCTTCGCTGGAGGAGTCTGAGTCGGAGTCTGAATCCACTGAAGATGAAACCCCTGAGCCTTCCTCATCTCGCCCCGGCGCGTCACAATCAGATTCCCCGTATGAGGAGGAACTTGATGAAGAGGATGAGTCGCCTCTCGAAGGTGAGCGAGATCGTTTCCGTTTCTTGTTTGACTTCCTCTTTCCTCCTCTTCTCCTTCTCCTTCTTCTTCTTCGCCTTCTCCAATTCCAACTGACAAGCATCCAGTTCCATCCTCAGCTTCCGGACCGTCGCCATATCCTCTGATTCTACCGCATCAGCCAGTTGCTCCGTTAGCGACCTTTGAACCGCGCCTTCTTTCATTTCTCTGCGATTCCCTTTGGATTTCAATAATGACGGGAGCACTGCAGCAAGTAAGAGTCACTACGTGTCAGCCTCATATTCCAGGCGCCCTCTACAGCATCACGCCTAATCTATGTACCAAACACTTTTGTGTTCAAACATCCGGAGCTGACCAATCTCCTTTTTGCTACAACAGATTCAACTGGAGCTAGGAATCACGGATTTCAAGATTATTCAACCCTTCAGGCATCTTTTTCTGGAGCGTCGAAACAGCTGCACACCCTAGAGAAAAACCTGCCACGATTATGAATCAGAAAGGAGTCTAGCTTACTCTCATCCTTTTCTATCAGATTCCCGTAAGTCCTCCCCTTCTCTCCTCTCCTTTCAACCTCTTCCTCGGACGACTCCGACGAGGACAACTTCTTCTCTTTCCCCTTCAAGGCCTTCTTCTTACTCTTCTTCGGTGGTTTTGCCTTCTTCAAGTTCGGCTTCACGTCCTCCATTGATGAATCCTCCAATTCCTGCTCACTCTTGCTCCCCAATATACCAGAATCCGGGTTTCCTTCAGTTCCACCACCTTGATTATGATCATCAATTGCTATTTGATCGCCTCCTTCTTTACGATCATCACCTCCTCCCAACTTCACATCCCTTTCCACATCCACGACTCGAGGAGCTGGTCCACTTCCTGAGGTTTGCGTTCCAGTCACCCCTTCATTTGGATTTGGTAATCGGGATTCCACTCTTGCACGTCTCTTCTCTGCTTGCTCCGTTAGCCTTGCTTCCTGAGCTTTCTTCTTCTCGTCTGCTTCTCTAATTGCCTGTATCATCTTGTTTGGTTTGAAACTGATCACTGTGTTCTTCTTCTTCAACTGCCTCCACATTCACTACCACTATCTCGAGTATAGGAATCGGAAAAGGTCTGACGATGAGATGAGAAAAGGACTAATTTGATCTTTGTATTTTCTTTTTTTTTTTTTGAAATCCTTCTTCGTATGAGTCAGGCCAAGCACAGAGAAAAATGGGGGTTGAAGAGTTCTATGTAATTTGATACCGTTCAATAGACTACTTTTGAGAAAGACTATGAGCTCTAGACAGATGAGATCTGATGGATCTCCAACGTGCAGGATGGTGAGAGATGAGATGGTGGAGTAGAGAGGAAAACTCTGTGTATCTCTCTCCCCATCTCTGATCACAGTGTCAACCTGTGACAGACATGTGTTGTCTTTCACAGGTCGTGTGATCTCACCTATCCGTGCCCGTTGCTCTCACAATCCCCAAGCAATGGAACTCTGTGTACCGCCGCAAGCTTAGGGCACACTCACAAAACCTGCGTGACCACCTTCTTGATGTTTTGGATTCACTCACTCAATACGCATATTATTGAGAATTGACATATTCAAAAACTGTAACAAAAACTTGGATCTCAAGAGTGGGAACCCAGCTGAAAGAGTGTGTAGGCTAGATAGAAACCAATAAGGCACCCTTATGCAAAACCAATGAGACACCATCAATGTTGAATGAGAAATATCCCAACAAACGGAAGGAGGAAATAGAAGATATGTAGTCCTACACGCAGATAGGCTTGAAAGAAATTTCATGTACATAAGTAGGTTGAAATGATGAAATGAGCAAACTCAACAAGTGGGAATTGGTTTAAAACTTGAAAATTTCTTGATCTTATGGAATGGGTTGTGAATGCTTTGTAAAGTTCATTTCTTGTAAGGTGTGTATCAAGCCGGGTGCACTGTTATGGCCACGGCACGGTTCTCTCGACGGGGATGGAGGAGTGGCTTCTGCAGTCTTGTATGTAGATTGTCGGATGAGAAGGAAAGGAAAAGATATACAAGCGTGACGTGTACAACAGAGGTTGGTGTCTAATCTTGTGACATCTCCTACAGATCTTTCACATCCCGTTACATGCAGCCTGAGATCATAACATTATCCCCCTTTTTATGCCCAAACCCCCTCTTGCAAGTTCTGCATTCTTTCCACGGGCAGCATTAAAAAACCCTGTGGGAAAAAGCTTGCCCTCTCACTTACTCCGTGTCCTTTTATAATTCTTGACCGCATTTGGAAATCTCATCTTAAATTCATTTAATAATTCATTACTATTCTTGAGGTTGACTTCCGGTTCCCATGAGTTATGTTCCATACCAAATCCTTTCCAGCATAATTATACAACTTATTGACCTAAATTTCTTTCGACAGTCTAAATTTCTGATACCTCCCATTCATCCTCAAAGAAA